CATTAGTTCTTCGAAAATTAGAAATTATCCAATAATTGTGCATTACCTCTCATAACATTAATTTCATGTTGTATTCTTTCCCATATTCGTTTTCTGTATTTACTGAAAAGTTATTTTAAACTGTGGTTCTCAACGCTCCCCAAATGAAATAATTACATGGGTTTAGGTCCGGGGATCGAGGTGGCCATTTTAAAGGGGCATTATTTCCTCTACCTATCCACCTGTTAGACCTTTAATAAGCTGTAGTACCTACCTGTACCCTGTAATACCTGTAACCTGTAATAACTGGTCTTTTAATACTCTATTAAAGGAACTTTTTGAAAGCCAACCTCTGCCGCTAAACGCCTTTTATTTACTTGAGGAATTTCTTCGACCCTTTCCAAAATTTGTTCCTCCAGCTGAATAGTTCCAGCCGTACACTATCCACGATTTAATGTTACAGTTAAAAGTTGTGATTTGGAATTCTTCGATAAGGAAAACTCAGCATATGTTCGAACAGTAGCAGAACAATTTCCTTCACAATAACCCAAAACTAATAGCATATCAGTTTGTTCAGCAAAAGTTTTAAATTGCAGTAAAAAACAAAGTAAACTAAAATTAAATCACAGCTGGCTTGACACTGAACCTTTTAATTATTGTTATGAATTTGTTTCTTTGTTATATGGCACCTTGTACTAGACTATTCTATTTATCTTAATCTAATTTTAAATTATTTAATGTGTAAAAAATGCCAATTTACTCGAAATCCATAAACGATATCAAAATTTTGAAAGAGGCAAAAAATCTTCTAAAATAGTGCTTATACTTAAAAATACTTAAAAAATTCTGTCGTCATTGACGTACACACAAAAAAATTACGGGATAGCCAGTGGCGCACAGGCACTAGAAAGAGAACATCCTGTATATGTATTATCACCAAATTCTATATTTACGTTGCCCTTATATAAAAAAATATGTATATCAAATTTGAAGTTTCTAAGAAAAACAGTTTTCAATTTATTTGAAAAAAACTAGGTTATCTGTTCTATATTTAAAAGGTTATTTCTCAGTAGGCGTGCATTTTTGTATATAGGTAAGTTAGGGTAAATAGTCTTATTTTCGTTCAAGGAACCTGTGGTCAAGCGTTGTCCATCCTTTTCAGGGACACCCTGTAGATATGTAGGTTGATCAACATATATCCCTCAACGGGTTGGAAAGTTACACATTTCTCTATTCAATAGTTCAATACCTTTGCCTGAATTTTGTTACCGCAGGTTTTTGGAGTCGCTGATTACGAATGACGGATGTAAAAATCGGAAAAGAATTCAAACAAATTCGATTTGCCGTGTGCTGTATGTTTCAAATACTTTTATCAAACCCATCAGGGAGCGATAACGTCATGCGCTTAAATGGGAAATATGAGACGCACAAAATGAGTAAGATTTTAAGCTAAAAATATAAATTTGATCATTCAAATAGAAAACTGTGTTAACTAACTTCTAACTGGCATTTGTAGGGATGACAAACTACGCCCCTTTCGTTGTTTCTTTCTTTCATATTTCCTTCAGAAATTTTCGGATTCGGGCTTCCGATTCGTAATCAGCGACTCCAAAAACCCGCGGTAATAAAATTGAAGCAAAAATATTGAATAGAAAAATACGTGGTTGCCAACCTTCAGAGAGATACCTAAGTTATATTAAATTTTTTTAGTATATTCTATCAACCTACATTTATATTTATTATGTATATTTCATGGTATGAAATACAAGAATATGGTTGTTTACATTGTTTTGAACATCATTCGATATTTGATTCTTAGACGTGGATATTAACCCCCTTATAAGGGTGGGTATGGATTTAATTTGCATATATTTCTTTATTTATTGCACATATTTTTGGGCTGCGGAAAAAATACACAAAATCTATGAATTCATGTCTTTGATACAGAACTTCTTTTGTGGGGCTGTGTTATTATTGAAATAGGTTGCCAACAACGTTTGTGAAGCACATATTATTTCTATATTATGTCGTGTTTGACACATTATTTTTTAAACATATGGGTCTAACAAACATCTCGGATAAGCATATGTTAGAGTTTAGGAAATTGTTAACAGTTAGGCTATACATACCTTAAATTTGTAACATTGATTTTGTATTGCAGTTATTCCTGCTTTAGACGATCCAATTGCTGGCTGGGTTGATAATTTCAATGGGCCATTAGGTATTCTATGCGCTGCAGGAAAAGGTGAATAGTAATCCTATTACTATTATTATACATTATGGAATTATGAAAATATTTGTATTACAATTCCCAGCAGAAAGTATGACATACGAATACGATATTTTTCATGTTTTCTAAAGATATCGTGTAACGAGTATATCTCGTTTATAATCTATTTCCGGAACAAAGTTTATATAAAAAATTATCCTACATTATTAAATTGTAAAATTAATTGCATATACAATTAACTGCATTAGTAAGTAAAATAAGTATATTAAAATACGAAAAATTGATGAATCATAAAAGTGTATTTTGTTTATTTGTCTGTTTATATGTATGGTTTGTAAAATTATGTATATACATTATGTAAAATGCGGTGGAGCTCCGTCGTGCATGAACCCCATGTCTCTTCTTAAACAAAGTGGAACTTCTTCAAACCGTGGAAGCATTTTTACTTGGCCACCCAGAAGTCCGGACTTCAATCCTCTTCATTTTTCTATTTGGAATAATCTATTGGTTCGTGTGAAGAGTTGTGGCAAAGAATACAAATCGCTGCCAACGAAGTCAGACGCAATCCCAATATGTTGTTTCAAACTCGAAGATCTCTCAGAAAACGTTGTGTAAAGTGTGTAAATGTCAACGGTGGATTCTTCGAAC